AATTCCGAGCGGCGCGCTGTCTCTCTCGCCCGCCCTCGCGGCCTTGCGGCCGCCCCGCGAGTGCGACAGAGACAGAGAGACAAAGCCCTGTCTGGAGTGAGCCTCGCCGCAGGGGGAAAGGCTCCCGGGGTTTTCCCCCGCTGGCGCCTCTGTCTGATAGCAGCGGCGCCATCATTGAGTCGAGTCGCATTAAAGGGCCCCTCCCACTCTGCCCTCTCTCTCACGGGGACCGCGACCCTGTTGCGGGGGGCGGTACAGGCTGCCGCTTATTTTTAACAAGATTGATCGCGTGGTGGCCGGGCCTGGACCCGGCCCGCCCCTGGACCGCCTGGACCCATTCACCGTGTCCACGCTGCGCGACGCTGCCCCACTGTGTCCATCACTGTCGCTGTCTCTCTCGCACCCGGCACGCCCCATGAGTGCGAGAGAGACAGAGCGACGAAAGGACCCTTCGGAATCGTGCGGTCGTGTCGTTATCGTTTTGCGTACTTCGGGTGGACCGACGCAATCCCCCGTTGACGATCTTTGCTTCGCGCTTCGCCCCTTCCGCAGCCCGCAGCGTGGCCCCTGGTTCGGGGGGCCGGCCGCCAGAGCGCGCGGCGCGGTCCCCCCTATAGCCCTACGGTACTGGGGGGTGGCGGGTGACGCTCGCAGCCGGTGTATCGCCGCCCAACTTCGGCAGGCGCGGCGCGACACCGCGTCGCTCTGTCTCCCTCGCACCCCTGCGACGGAGGACGGAGACAAGGTGGCGAGGGGACTCTTCGTGTGGGCCGGCAGGGACAGGGACAGGACAGCCGCCAAAGGGAAAAGGGGGTTTTTTCCCTTGGTTTCCCCGGGGCCTTTTCGGCTGGGGGCCCGGGGCCCGCCCCCGGGGGAACAGCTGGAAAGGCCCCGGGGGGGGCCAGCCCCCGGGAGGGGAAAACCCCAACGCGGGGCCCGGGCCCCCCGGTTTTGGGGAAACCCCCGCGCTTGTTGGGGGGAAAGGAAAAAAAACCCCAAACATGGGGGACGGGCCGCCGCGGTGTTGGGCCAATGGGGGCCCCCCATGCAAGGCCCCTTTTTCCCCACTAACCCAATTCCGCGCCTGTTCCCGACCCTCTGGCCGTCCGTCTCTCTCGAAACGCTTACACGGACAGGGCCGCGAGGATTTTTTGGGCGAGACAAGTCCGGAATTTGGGTCGCTGCACGATCTGTGACAGTTGCGCGTTGCGTCTCGTCATCACGTGGGAGTCTGTCTGTGTGTCTCGCGACCGCCCGGCCCAGTTCGGCGTCGTCCGACGCGGGCCGCGGGGCTTCCCGGGGAGGGTCGAGACGTGCTGCAGGATCTGCTTGCCATTGATCACGAACCAACTAGATAGGAAGCCCGGGGCGAAAGGAGGGGGCAGGGCCAGTGCCGGGCAGGGCGCCCTGAGCGTTGGTGATCCCCGGTAACGCGAAAAGCCCAGCGACAGCGACGGCGACAGGTCGGCCAGCAGAGACGCCCCACCGCGACGACCCCACCGCCCTGTGGCCCTGTAGCCAGGGCCGTAGCGCACCCTGACAGCACGACACCCCTTCCCTTCCATTCCAAGAGGCCTCGACCTGCCCGCCTGGTCGCCACCAACCAGGCTGAGAGTAATGCCGCCCTGCCAGCGCCTCGCTATTCGCTTCCCCCCCTTTCTTTCCTACTCTCTCTCTCTCTCTCCCCTCTCTCTCCTTTTCCTCTCTCCCCTCTCTCCCCTCCCCCTTCCCCAGGGGGGGGGCCCTCTCTCTTCAAATCGTCTTTCCCCTTTTTTCCCCGGGGGGGGGGGGGGGGGGTTTTTTTTTTTTTTTTTTTTTTTGAGCGGGAAGATTGAAAATAGCGGTCGAGTCGTGAGAAATGATCGTCGGCGACGTCCGCGACGTCCGCGACGTCCGCGACACTGCCACCACTGCCACCGCCCCGGCCGCTGGCACGCGCCACCACACGCCACGGGGACCGGCCGGGGCGGCGGACTTGACCGCAATCCGCTCCACTCCATGCTCGGCGCGCTAGGCGTGACCGCGGTCCACGCGTCCTGCGTCATCCACTGGAAAACCCCGTTCGTCGCGCTCGTGTCCTTTGTGACGGCGGCCATGCAGCACTCCCGGTGTCGGTGGCGCCACACTGCCGCGCCGCGAGTAGAATTTCGATTAATTTTCCGCTTTCCGTCCTCGCGGCCTGTTGCCTTGGTGTCGGCCATGCCCGTTTGGCGCCAACGCCAGTCGGGCTGCCCCAGGCGTGCCCAGGCGTGCCCAGGCCTGCCCAGGCCCCGGGCTGGCCGCAGTGCCGCAGTGCCCGCAGCCGGCGTGTGTTTGCGCTGAAAGCTAAAAGCGATCTGGGAACGTCCAAATGAACTGGCCAGCCCATCCCGTACGTCCCGTACAGGCATCACGTCGAAGCCAAGTTTATTTGGGGGAGGGGAGGGGGCGGCCCTGCCCGTGGGTGTTGGTGTGGACGCGCTCGGCGGACATGTCGTCCTCTGCGCGGTTTCAACCCCGCGCCGACGTGCGCCTCGCTGTGCCCCGGCCCCGCGGCGCCCCGCGGGCATGGCGACGGGGACCGACGCGAAAGGGTAAATTTAATCTCCGAGTGTCGCTGTCGCCACGGCACGCGGCCGAAACACAAACGGCGATGTGATTTTTGCACCCCGTTACGTGTTACGTGAGTTGGCAGCCCTGACGAAGGCGGCCGTGCGGGCAGCGGGCCTTCGCGTTCGTTCACCTGCCAGCGGGCGCAGCGGGCACGCCCGCGCCGCAGCGCCAGGACGTGGACGACGAGGACGTGTCGCTAGGGCTGCCCCTCGGAATGCGCCAGAGCCAGCACACGGCCGGTGCTTATGGCGGGCCTATGGCGGGCCTATGGCGGGCCTATGGCGGGTCTATGGCGGGCCCATGGCGGGCATGAAGGCAATGCCCAAGGGCGAAGCGAATGGCCAAAAGCGTCCCTTTGATGTGGTTGAACGGGGCCCGTATTGCACTTGTCACTGTACTGGCCGTCGCGGGCCTCGGGCCTCGGCGTGCCCGGGTGGCACGCGTCCAAGCCCCTCGCGTCCGAGCCTCCCCGCCCCCTCGCCGGCCTGCCGCGCTCCGCGCTCCGCGGACCAATTTACCGCCTGCGTCAGTTTTGTCGCGACCGTCTGCACGCGTGCCGCACCGAGTGCCGCATCTCACCGCGCCCAGGACAGCCAGCAGCACCACGAGCACCGCGAGCAGCACCATCGCGCCGTCCGTGCACTCCATGCCTCAGAGCGGCGCCACCACCGCCCCAGGGCCCCACACCGGCAGCCCTAGTCCCAGCACGCCGAGCACGCCGCGGAGGCGGAGGAGTACGACGCGCGCGGCCAGCTTCACCACGGCCAGCTTCACCACGGCCAGCTTCACCACGGCCAGCTTCACCACACCCAGGCCCGCGCCCCGGAGACCCCAGAGACCCTCGTCGCCGCCATGAAGTTCTACCAGCACTGCGACGAGGACCTAGACAGCGACATGCCGGTGCCGGTGGCGGCCATGAAGGCCATCCCGGAGGACCGGCCGGGCGACGAGTTCGCCTGGAGGAAGGTACTGGTGGCGGCTCCTGCCGTGGGTCGCTCTGTCTCTCTCGCACCCGCCCGCAGCGCCCCTTGAGTGCGACAGAGACAGAGCGACGAGACGACTCTTTAGCGTGCTGAAGCCCACCTGGAGCAGGTCCTGGAGCAGGTCCAGGCGGGCTGCTTCTTTTTGTTTGCGTCTGTGTTTTGGCTGGGCCGCCTGGCTGGCCGCGGGGCGTGGGGCTGCCCGTGGGGCCCGCGCTGTCAAAGGCGTCAAAGGCCGGCGGCGTGGCGCGGCGCGGCGCGGGCCTGCTTGACGTGCCCGCTGCGAGTTGTCCACACGCTCCACTGCCGCGGCCAGGCGCGCCGCGCCACGGACAAGCCGGGCATGAGCGTGGCATGAGCCAGGAATACCCATCGAACAGCCGGGGCCCTGCTTGGCCTGCTCCGCGCCCGGTTGGCTGGGGCTGGGCCCCGTAAGGCGTTGCTGGTCCGGGGCCGGTAAACCCCAGCGAAAAATAGGTTCAGGTGCGCGGACGGCGCGGCGCTGGCCGAGGAAGGGCTCGGTGCCGGCCAGGACGCCGTCGTGGCGAAACCCGCAGGCCGACCCCGCAAAGCGTCGCCCTGTCTCCGTCGCACTCATGGCGCGTCCCGTAAGCGCGTGAGAGAGACCGCTGACGGACGCGGGCTGACGGGGGACTTGGCCACGCCACGCGCACCCCCTGCCAATTTGAATCTCGCTGTCACGGCGGTGACGTCACGATGACGTCAAGATGACGCGCGCACAGGTGTGGCGGCCAACCGGCGGCCGGCCGGCGGCGAGGGGACGACGACGTCACGCCTGTCCCATTGGCCCATTGGTCCTGCCGTGCTGCCCCGCGCACGCTGACGTCACCCCACCGCGCCGACGCACCCCGTGGTCCCCGTCC